AGCCAAGCATTCACCCTGGTTATTACTTTCAAAATCAATTGTAAGCCTCTGACAATCACAAAATGAGTAATGTTCTCAAACTTTTTGATCTCAGAACCAGGAAAATCTCATAAGGAAAAAGACAACCAAAGACAGCATTCCACGATGATACAGATGTTGGGATATTAGACAAAGACTTTAAAACAGGCATTACAACTATACTTCACTAAGTAAGGACAAACGTGCTCTGGCTGGTGTGGCTCAGTGGATTTGAGCAGCAGCTGGCGAACCAGAAGGTCACTGATTCAATTCCCAGTCATAGCACAGGCGTGGGATGCAGGCCAGGTCCCCAGTAGGGGGTGAGTCAGTGGCAACCACACTGATGTTTCTCTCCCTCTCTTTCTCCCACCATTCCCCTCTGTCTAAAAATAAATAAATAAAATCTCAAAAATAAAATTTAAAAAATGTTTTAAAAAAAGTAAGGATAAACACTACTAAAAATTAATGGAAAGTAGAAAGCTTCAAGCAAGAGACACAAAAAATGTTTAATGACAAAACACAATAATGAAAATTAAAACTTCACTGGGCAAGCTCACCAGCAGAATGAAGATGACAGAGGGAAAAGACAGTGAACTTGAAGACCAATTAACAGAAATTATCCAATATGAAAAACAGAAAGAAAACAGATTGAAAAAATAAACAGAGCCTAAGGGACCTAAGGGACCTGTACGGTACTATCAAACGACCTGAAATCTGTGTCACTGAGGTCTAAGAAAGAGAGGATAAAGAGTATTGGAGAAAACACACATTTGAAGAAATAAAAGCTGAAAATGTCCTAAATTTGGCAAAAGATAGGCGCAGATTCAAGAAGATCAGCAAACCCCAAGAGAATAAAGGAAAAGAAACTCACATCTAGTCACAGCACAATTGCACTGCTGAAGTCTAGGGACAAAGGACCAGATCTTGAAAGCCAGTCAAGAACATATTACACACAACAACTTGAGTGACTACAGACTCCCTATCAGAAACGATGCAGACCAGAAGGCAATGGAACACTTTTTAAGTGCAAAAGAAAATATGTACCAACCTAAATTCTATACCTAGTGAAAATATCTTTCAAGAAAAAAGGCAAAACAAAATGTTCAGGTGAAAGAAAAAAAGAGAATGTTTCTAAAAAAAAAAAAAAAAATAGGAGAGAATGTGCTGCCAGAAGATTTGCTCTAAAAATATGCTTAAAACACTCTTTAGCCCTGGACAAGTGGCTCAGTTGGTTAGAGCATCCTCCTGTACACCGAAAGGTTGTAGGTTCAATTCCCAGTCAGGGTACATACGTAGGTGGTAGGTTTGATCCCTGGTTGGGGTGCATACAGGAAGCAACCAATCAAGTTTCTCTCTCCCAAAAAACAAACAAACAAACAAACAAAAAACACTTCAGGAAGAAGGTAAATGACACCAGAGGGAACTTGGAACTATAAGAATGAACAAGTAGCAACAGAAATGGTAAATACAGTATGTGGGTAAATATGAGTATTTTTTTCCTTTTAAGCTCTTTCAAATATGTGTGATGTTTGAAAGCAAAAGTTTTCAGTGTTTGTAGATATAACACATATGACAAATACAGCATAAGGTGAAAAGTAAAAGAATGTTATATGGTGAGATGTTTTCAACATTTCACTTAAGTGGTAAAATAATATTAATTCTAAGAGCACTATAAAAAGCTGTGTGTATGTGTGATAATCTCTAGAGCAGGGGTGTCCAATGTTTTGGCATCTCTGGGCCACACATTAATTACACTGTGACATGTAACCACAGAAAAAACCTCATATAGTATGCCCTGGCTGGTGTGGCTCAGTGGAGGACTGAGTCCCTGCCTGTGAACCGAAAGATGACCAGTTCAATTCCCAGTAGTGGCACATGCCTGGGTTGCAGACCAGCTCCCCAGTTGGGGGCGTACAATAGGCAAGTGATCGATGTATCTCTCGCACATCGATGTTTCTCTCCTCTTTCTCCCCCACTCTAAAAATAAATAAATAAGATCTTTTAAAAAAATCTCACAATGTTTTAAGTAACTTTACCATTTTGTGTTGGGCCGCATTCACAGCCATCCTGAACCACATGTGGCCTGTGGGCCGCAGGACAGACACCCCTGCTCTAGAGTAAATACTAAAAATTCAGTTAAAAATTAAAAATACTAAAAAAAAAAAGTTCAAATAATCCAAAAGGCAATACAAGGAAACAATAAAAAGAGGAAGCAAAAACAAATGTTGGACAGACAAATCCAAATTTAATATAAAATTATATTAAATTTAAAGTCTAAAAATGCCAATTAAAAGGCAGAGATTGCGAGAATAGATAAAACAAGACCTATTTGCTTATCTATGAGGAACCCACTTTAAATATAATGCTATAAGTAGAACAAGTAAATAAAATCTGCCAGGACACAGAAGAATTTAACAACACTCTTAGCCAATGGATTTAATTGATATTTATAGACCACTCTACACAAAAACAGCAGACTGTATATTCAAGTGCAAAGAGGAATTTCACCACACTAGAACTTGAAAAACTGCAATAAATTTTAAAAAACATTTCAGTTTTTTAAACATTTCACGCTAGTTATGTCTCTGACTATAAAGTAATTAACCTAGAAATCATAAATAAAGACAACTGTAAAATATTTAAATACTTGGATATTTTAAATCACTTCTAAATCACAGGAAATGAGAAGAAATCAATTAAATTGAAAACAGAAAATAGGGGAAAAATGAAACCAAAATCTGGTTCTATGAAATGACCACAAAATTGATAAACCTCTAACCCAACTGATCAAGGAAAAAGACAAAAGGCACAAATGATCAGTATCGGGAATGAAGGAGAAGTGATCACTACAGATCCCAGATACTCAATTAAGGGACTATGTCAAACAACTCTATGCCATAAAGTTGACAATTAGATAAAATGGACCAACTTCTTAAAAAACACAAACTACCAAAAGTCACTCAAGGAGAAGAAACATGAAGAGTTCTGTAACTAGTAAAGAAATGAAAATCTCAGTTTAAAACCTCAAAAACATTTCTAAGGGACAGTCCTGGAATTATTTCTAAAAGGAATCTTACTGGATTCACAAAGAAAAAAATCGTAGATACACTTTTCCTCTTTCGAAACATACCTGCATTCATTTGATGACTTTATGATTTAAAAGTCTAACTTGATTGATATAAAATGACACATTTCCACTGATTGCAACAAAAAGCCATACTGTGTAGTACTCAATTTTTATCTATACTTCTTGATCTCTTTAATGTGGACAGTACAGCCACTCTGAAAGGACCTTTGCTTATCAAAGTAAATCAAAGATACTATTTTGTACTCCTATCAAGTGAAGTATTAACTATTAACTATACAATAGTACATAGTTATTAACTATACAAGAGGTCAAGAGTATTACTTGAGTAGGTACTCAAAGACAAACATATTAATGGTTAAATCCCACAAAGCAAGATCACTTCAAACTGAAGTGATCCTTAAAAGTTGTACAAAAATCAAGTAATCTACTATTTAGATAATTTACTGAAAAGTGTAGGTAAAAGTGCAATTACGTGAGATTGGACCATAGCTAACTGCCAATTTTACCAGCCGATTCAACCAAGAACAATGTGTTTCCTGCTCCATATGTGATTCAATCTTCTCAAGAGTGCTACTTCCTTCTACCAGGAAGGTATTATAATTACCTTGGATGTTGGAGACTGAAGTTCATTCAACATTTACTGAACATACTTGAGATTTTTCACAACAAAGGTTATTTACAAATCTAGGATATGAACATATACCAGTAAAGGAGTAATTTACATGGCCACAGAACCTTTGGTTTACTTCTACTTTTCAAGGGTTTGCTATTTTTAATTCTTAAAAAAACAAAAACATAAGCCCTGCTATCTGATGCTTTGATTCACTATAAATACTACAGCCTATAGCCATTTCCTGCCACTCTCTTCCCTCCCCTCCCCAGCCACCCTAGGCTTTCTGAGGCTCCTTAAATGTATAAGGACTTACACTCCAAGACCCCTCTATTAACCAGTCCCTCTACCAAAAATGCTTTTCTCAAAGATCTCCACATGGCTCACCTCATCACCCTCGGATGTCTGCTTAAATGTCATCTCCTCAAAATGACCTTTTCTGACCAACTTATTAAAATAGTACTCCTACTACAAGCCACTGTATTCGCCCCCCCCCCCCGCTCCGGTTTATTGTCTGTCTTCCCCCAATAGAATATAAACGAGAAGCCTTTGTTTTATTCATTACTACAACGCCAACCATCTAGAACAGTAGGAGGCTCTCAATAAGAATCTGCTGAACGAGAGAGTGCACAAAGACTGTACATACGACTTCAATTCAGAGTTCTGTTACAGATACTAAAAAAAGCTAAGAAACCAGTTTGAAACCCTGCATGCTCTGCTACTCAGAATGAAACAACAACCCTTTAGAAGAAAATATTTTATTTTCAACAAGATATGCAGACAAAACATTAATGTTAAGCACGTGCATGCTGCAAGTCCATTGGTACAAAATGCTTTGATTTATCACAGAAGATTTCCCCAGGTCATTTGCCCATGAACCAGAAATTAGAAATTCTAGCTGAAAACACTTAAGGAAAAACAGAGACCGAGTTGACCTATTAATGCAGAATACTGTTAGTGTCTGCCACCTAGAGACACTGAGAGAGAAAAAAAATCCTTAAAGGATTGCACCCCTTTTCTTGGCTCCAGGGATGGTATGAACACTCAGTCTAGGGGTGCAAGGGGGCATGGAGTTTGGGAGAACGAGGCCCGGACTTCCGAGTTCAGGGGGAGTGGTGTACCCGAGCCACCCTCCTAACCACAGATTTTGCTTCAGGAGAAACGGGATGTTGACTGTGCCTACTCGATGCCAAAAAGGCTTGGGGGGAGTTGAAGAGGGTAAGACCCCTCCCCTTCCCCAAGGTAAGCCCGGGCCCCAGAAGGACTCCCCAGTCTCCGGCTCACCCGGCTCCCGGTTGATCTCGATGTCGAAGTGGCACTGCGGCCGGTCCTGCGCCCCCATCGCTACCGAGGCGGCGGCAAGAGCTAGGAGAGAGGGGGAGGAAAGCGGTAAGGTCTGAGGCCAGGGCGAGGGCGGGGCGGAACCCGAGCCTCGGTCGCCTCGCGCCTCCTTGTCACGACAGCGCGGGAGTGTGAGACCGGGCCCTCTCCTGCCCCGGGCCCACCGGCTCCCTTACTGCACGCACACAAACGGGCGAGCTCTTCACCTGACTGGCCTCCAGCCTGAGTGGCTCCCCGTGCACACAGGACAAAGTGCCGGCACACCGGCCGAAGCCCAACGCCGATAACGGACCCCCCGCCCCCTTCCCAGGGCCGGGCGTCCCGGTGCCACGCTTAACCCCGCGAGAGTCAGCGCACATACCGCGAGAACACGATGGTCCTGGGGCTCTTTAACCGAAATGAAGCGCACGTGGGCGTGTCTGAAAGCTCAAGCGACGCCTCTAATACGGCGCTCCAATAACTGAGCTTGTCCTTTATCGTCACGCCCATTTTCTCGTAATCCTTGGAGTAAGTTGCCCAATCAGGAAGCCCTGAACGCGCCTGCGCCCTCTACATTGTCTCGTTCCCCCCCCCATCCCCGCCCAGGGGGCCGTGAGCTTCCGCGCATCTTCAGTTATCGCGAGGCTTCTCTTTTGACAGCCAGCCAGTTGTGTGAATTAAGTCGTTGAGGTTTAAGTAAGCACATAGCTTTTAGCCTTTTTTTCTTTTTCTCAAGAATTCACTTCAGAAAACTTTTAGGCTGAGGTGCGTGTTCGCTCCGCTGGGGCGCCAGCGTCACTGAGATAGTTTCTGTTTGTGGCAGTTTTATGTTTTGTATGAGTTAGTTCAAGTCCTTTGCCCATTTTTAAATCTTCGTCTTGATGAATACGAGAGTTCCGGATACAAATGCTTGTTACATAGATGATATATGTATGTTCTGAATCCAAATCTTTTGTTGGTAAATGATTGCGAATATTTTTCTCCCAGTCCGGGCCTTGTCTTTTCATTGTTTTGATGATGGCCGTGCAAAGCCGTTTTGAATTGGAAGTCATTTGATCGATTTTTTTCCCCTCGATGTCTTTGGAGTTCAGTTTCTTCATCTGTAAAATAAGCAGGATGAAATACCTTCTAAGTGCCCTCTTGATCGGAAGTTGTTTATTCTGTCCTGTGAGTCGAAGTTACATTTCAGATGATTTGAAGGGAAGGCACGAAGGTCTGTGGTTAGGGCGAGTAAACTGCTGTGATCAGGCAGCCCTTAGCGTCCACCAGTAGGACTGATACCTCCTCCTTCATCCCCAAGAGCGGTAGGAAATGGGTATCCAAGGAGATTACAAATTCAGGCTTGGTTTGCCCGCGATTACCAGGAAGGAGAATCCTTGGTAGGAATTTTCTGGTAATAATTCTGGGTATTTAGTCTCAGAGAGGGATCACACCAGCAGCTGGAACTTCAATCAATGGACAGGACGTTGACGAAACTAATTAGGAGGGCTAGTGGGGAAACTTAGATGAAATAGATAATTTTCTAGAAAATAGAAATCATCGTATTTGACTCAAAATAAATGGCAGGATTGAATAAAAACAGTTACCATTGAAGAAATTAAAGTAGTAATTCCAAGTCTCCCTGCAAACAACTGTGAGACGTTCTGACACAGCCAAATGGGCAACTTGATTATGGTCTAGATTGTAGATGAAACCAAGGAAGTGTATTTAATTTTGCTAGATATGATCATGAAATTTCGGTTAATGAGGCTAATGACTTTGGTTTATTTAGAGATGCATACTGAAGTATGTAAGAATGAAAACACATGATATCTACCTATGATTTTCTTTCAAATACTTCATCAAAGAAAAAAGAATGCATTTAAAAATAGATAATGAGTGAAACAAATTTGGAAAATTTTTGATAATTGTTACCTCTAGGTGACAGGTATAGGGTGATTTTCAAACTATGTTCTCTGCTTTTGTATATCTTTGAGATTATTCATAATAAAACCATTAAGAACCACAGTCTTCCTTTCCAAAAAACACAAGCTCCAAACTGTTTCATAAGCAGATTTTTGTCAGACCCTCAAGGATCAACAATCCCTTTCTCAATCAGAATATTTCAGAAAATAGAAAAAGAGAGAGTTTTTCCTCTCTCTTTTTGTGATTATTTTGTGATACCAAGACCAAATAAAGATAGGACAAGATAGTTATAGATCAATCTAATTATAAACATTAATTTAAAATCCAAATAAAATATTAGAAAATGCAACTTACCAGTTTTTAAGCCCCAAAATGCTCATGACCTAATTGGCTTTAACTCAGAAATGCAAAGATGGTTCAACATCAGAAAACCTATTTCTATAATTTGCTATATGAACAGATTAAAGGAAGAACACATTATTTTCTCAATGATGTATTGGTTACCAATCTGTTGCCTCTCGGATCCTTCAGTGTATCCTCTGTAATACACAATTCAGCTTCAAGCAGGGATTCTTGCTCCAACCTCTTCCCAAAGTAACTTTTACACTTTTATGACTCAGAGAAGGGAGAAAAGAGGTGAAAAAAAAATTAGAGAAAAGGAATCCAGTGAGAAGGTACATAAACAACTCTACCTCTTTTGCTTATACTATTTTGAAAAAATATTCTAGATTTTGAATGGGAAATTGTGCAGAAATGAATTAATATTATAGTCCCGAGGCTGCTGTCTTTAGAAAGGCCTGCTTACAAGATTGGCCCTTGAGTGGAATCTGGGAACTGGAATGGTAATCAGTTTCCTACACTTAAAGAATATTTTCATTATATAATAAGAGTGCTCCACTATGCCTAAACTATTTGTGTAAACAAAAGCATTATGCTGAACACCTGCTCTCCTTTCGGGAATCTGGGATTTAGGTATGTGCTAGGCAGAAGATGCACATGTACCCAGCCGGTAACAAAAACTTTGGGCACTGAGTCTGTAATGAACTTCCCCGGTAGACAACCTGTCTCATGTGTTGTCACAGTTCATCTCTGGCTGAACTGAGCTTGTCCTTTGGGGCTGCACTGGGAGAGGGAAGTTTGAACCTAATTTCCTGTGGGCTTTGCCTTGTGTGTCTTTTCCCTTTGCTGCTTTTACTTGGAGTTCTTTTACTAATAACCATTCAGAGTACAACTGTGTGCGGAGTCCCGTGAGTCTTTCTAGCGAACCATCCAACCCGGAGGGAATCTTGGGATCCGTGGCACAGAAATAATTATTACCAGAATTTGATAACAAAATCTATCTATATTGAAAATTTGGAAACACATATTTTGAAATCTTATCATTTCTCTTTTGTGGAAAAATGAGTAGACCATTTTATGCAGTAAATGAAAATGTGTACTTTGCTAGAATAACATCCTCCTGTTAGTCAAGATCAGATTGGCTTTCTCCAGGTGGGGCAGGGAACTTGGCCATGGCATCTTTAAGCTTATATCTCTATAGCCCGACAACCTGAAGGGAAAGCATTTTTCCTGCCAGCACCAGTGAGCAAAATCCTGAGGAGAGATTCCGATTGGCTTGATGAGGTTCATATGCCCATCTCTTGATGGCCATGGCAATGGGCAGATATTATGATCGATCAGCTTGGGGTGGCGCCAATCACCAGGAGAAAGGCATGGGGGTGTGGCAGCAGAGATGGCCACTGGGGCAATGGCTTCAAACCATGAAATCATGTTCATTATGGGTACTACACCCATCTTTGACCCTTTAGGTGTCTTTTTTGCCACTAACTTGTTTTAAGGCATGGGTACGTCTTCACAAATGTCTGCTGCTTCATTCTCTTTACAGGGTAGTTTGGATCCCATCAAATTCATTTGAAAACCCCTCTACAACAAACACTTCCTGTCAGATAGGGTCCTTACTCATTTTTTATTGATCCTACTTGTTTCATTCTCTAAATTCTGCTTTGTGTCCTTGGCTCTGACACTAGTTTTTGCAAATAGATTGAGTTTTGGTAAAAAAAAAAATTCATCTGCCCTGGGGATGACCGGCACATAGCTGGGCTGGTCTATCTGGGTCTGCCCACCAGGAGTAAGGCACTAGACATCTGGTGCCTGGTTGTTTTCCTCCGAAGACTCTGAGACACAGCGGTTTGAGGGCAAGCTGCTTACTTAGGAAGTGGTCTCAGGAAACTATTCCTGGAGTGGTGAGGTGAAGCACAGGGCAGGTGGCCAATAAAGTAGGTGCCGTTGAGCCAGTCACCGGAGCGCATGATGAGAGTTTAATCCCACTGGCGAGCTCTGGCCCCCAATGTAGAACATCTCAGAATTGTTCTTACTGTGGGGGTGGGGTTACTGATACTCCCATCTCCAGAGAGTCATTAGTTGAGAGCTGTTCCCAGGGTGATACAATGCCCAGGTTCTTCTAGCCTGTTACACCTGGGGAAAGCAGACTCCCACTTTTAGGAGAAAGTCCTCAGAATAGAGATACAGATACAGACTTTGGGAGCCAGTTGGAACACAAAAGAAAAAGTTCAGCGAAGTTGGAGTCAAGTTCAAGAAATGAGAGTAGGAGGCTGATAGGCTCTGCTACCACTGGCAAGTTTTGTTGGAAAACAAAGGGGTGTTCAGGAGTTAAAAAGCATACTTTTTCTATGATGTGGAAGCACTTGATAATTTCCACAAGGAGTTCGGGTGGCCTCAATATTTTGTCCTGCATGGTGCCCTGGTCTGTGCCTGAGTATGAGTCTCCTTCATCTTGCCAGGAGCCCCTGAAAGCAAAGCCTAGTGCCTCTCCTCCTCTCTTTTCCTCACTGTAGAGCCCGGCCCTGTGCTGGTCAAATGAGGACTCAAGTTATAATTGAATGGATGACTACATAGACACACACTGCTCTATAAATGGACTCAAGAGAGGAAAAAAAAAAAAACAAGCAGTTGGAATGAAGGGTCTATGCATAGCTGTTGCATCTGCCTGCACTAATGATCTCATATCAGGTTCCTGGTTATTCCTATCTCAGCTACAGTATTACACAGGTCATCCCTGATACCATCAGTTAAAGTAGCTCCCCACTCTCCAGAACATTCCCTGTTGTAATTCTCCACAGAGCACTTATTACCACATGAAGCTTTCCTTGATTATTTATAGTTTATTGTGTCTTCCCCATGGATTACTTACACTGTATTGTCTTCTTTATACTAGAATAAAGTTTCCAGGAGAACAGGGACAATACATGGCTTCCTCATGCTGTATCCTCAGCATGTTAGTTAATAAATATTGTTGAGTGATTGGTGACAGAAATGAGAACCCCTCTTGGATCCTAGACTCTTACTGAGATTTAGGAAGAGAATGTCCCAATGATTGAAGAGAATGTCGAGATTCTAGGGGATTATGTGGGATTTTCACTGGGGGCAGATTAACTAAAAATTGCTTT